AAACTCAATTCATAAACAAAAAGATATAGAACTCAACAACACTTTTCCTCTTTGCTAACCTTGATTTTTGAGTACAGAATATCCCTGAGAACGCTCAAGACTGGTCTGGCAGACGGTGTTGTTACCAACTGGTTGTGATGTGTCTGTAATATAATGGTTGCGATTCTGGAAACCAACTCTACCTGCAGGATTTATGTTACAAACATTAGAGAAATTCTAAGACGGGAACTCGGGGATCTATGTTCCATTGATTTACTCTTCATTCTAAACAATATAACAGGTTCGTGACCGAGATTGAGTACATGCTACTTTACAACAAGCGTCTACATATGCTGGCCCTTCAGAGCTGAAATCTAGAATCTAGGACACAAAAGGGGTATATAATTACCTTTTCGGGAATTAAACTCCAGTCTTTCATGTAGCAAAGAAACTTCAAAGATTCTGAGAATGGTAGAGCCTACACAAAACCCAAAAGAGGAAAGGGTATTGATTAACATAACCTTGGATCTAATACAAAATGGGTGCAACCAAGTAACTAGTAAAACGATGGTTTGATAGAAGAAAGCAACCTACCAGCAAAGTCTGCTCAAGATCATTTGTTCTCACATTTGAGATGGCCCTGAGAACATAATCGGTCGGAGAAAGCCCGAACATCACAGCGTTGGGTAGGTATTCAGGAACTTTTCCCTTTGTTTTCTCCTCCTGAAATTTGGAGGAAAGAAAAATCACGATGTAAAGAACTAGTAGGAAACAAAGTCGCAACCGTAGATATTGGCATAACCATTTTATGTTAAATTCGACTCCAAATTAGCAAAAAACAAAGCACCAACTAGGGGGGTGTCATGTCCATACGTATAGATAAACAAAGTAACAATTCCCACCTCATAAGCAGCATGACGATTCTTTTCATCTTCTGCTACTTCCAGAGCATCTATGATTGAATCAGCAGCTGATAGAATATCTATCGTCTTCTTGCCAGCTAATGCTGCTGCAACACCTTCCTCTGGAATTTCCTCCATGGGTCCATGCCTGTCCTCATTATCAATCTCAGACTCAAAAAGCTCTTCTAACCTCTTTTCTTTCTCCTCCTGCATTATTTCCAGCAAAATTACATTAATTGGCCCAAAGTCACATAAAGTCACTCATCAACATATACTTAAGATTTATGTACACATGCCACCAAATTTACATTCACAACCACAAAGAAGAGTTATTATATTTGAACTTGAACTTGCATGATTTCCGTATCTGATTTCATCATGTATATTAAAATAAGTAACTTCCAACAGTGGGGAATTACCTCGAGGAAGAAAGGTTCTTCAGAGCGATCCCAGCGACGCATAGAGCGGTCATGAGATCCTGTTACGAGAAAATCACCACGGTTACTGACAGCAAGGCACCAAATCTCTGCATGATGTCCTTCAAGCGTTAACAATAGCTCGAATTTGTCAGCATCCCAATACTTGACGAGGCGGTCTTTCCCAATGCTGAATAGATAATGGGTATTCCGAACAAATTTAACACCCATAACACTGTAAAACAAAGTCAAGTGTTACTAAAGCACCACAAATCATTTAATGATGTAAGGAGTCTTAACCACAAAATGTAATATTTCTGATAATAATCAACATTTTACAAGCTAAGTACATATGTTGCCATGTTGGGAAGATGCTGAAAAAAAAAAAGAGTTTTCGGCTTATATCATGTCATGCAATTATCTTTCTGTTTTTTTGTATTTTTCCATTCTAAGTCTTTTCCTGGTTCAATGGCTCTCTATTAGAGAAAAAAACAATTTTTTTGATAAAACCAGACACAAGATTATAATCTACAAGGAAAAGCTGAGTCCATATCATAGAATATGTTATGCCATTTTGAGAAATAATGTACGTACCTGTCACCATGAGCAAAGATAGACTTATGACAATCACCAAAATCCAAACCCCAAATTTTCAAATTTTTGTCCTGAGAACCAGTTACAATCAACTCTCCATCTGATGAGATGTCAATGCACATCACAGGCAACTTGTGGCCATATAAGGAGAGGTAGAATTTTAGGGAATCCATGTAGAAAACCTGAAACCAATATAAGGTAAGTAAGTTGGTGTTACATTAGTCAAGGAAAATGATAAAACGATAGATACGAATGTGGTTAGCTTATCATTTATATGGTGTCATGTAAATTATCGATTTCTCGTTTAAATATGCCATAAACATAATACAACAAACAAAATAACAAAATAAATCTACCTTCACTGTGGAATCAAGCAGTGCAACTGCTATATGTTTAGCATCAGGGCTGATAGCAACAGCAAGTACATCGTCATTCATCTTCATGGACTTAACATTTGAAACAGTGAGTTGCTTGGTCGCCTGTAGGTTATCAAATACAATTATGTTTTAACTTAATCATTTTAGTGCACTGTAATATACTACTCAAATAACACTAATAAACAATGTGCTCATCAACAACTTTCTTAAGAGTAAGCAATTCCAGAAAACGAACGCACAGAAAACAGGAGATGGACAAAAAAGGAGAGTAGAGAAGAAATTTATGAAATAAAAACGTTTACTTATTCTACTAGAGAAAATAAAAGAAACTTAAGGTAAGGAATCTCACCTTGCCAGATTTCTGTTTGACTTGGTAGTCCCAGAATTTGACTTCATGATCTGCACTGACAGTGACAAACCCATTATCGTTTGGAATAGCTGTAATTGACCAAATAGTGCCACCATGAGCCTCCACTTCTTCCACTTTGGTAGCGCTCCCTATATCAATGATTTCGAGTACCCCACTCTTGGTTCCAACAATACCATACTTGTTTTGAGGAACAATCAAACTGCATAATCCATATCCTGAATCAATGGTCCGGAGACAGGAACCTGTACTGGGATTCCAAATTTTCACTTCACTATGACTGGTTGACATCAAAAGGGTGTTGTCTTCACTGAGGGTAACACTCCTCACGTCAGAGCGATGTCCTTGGTGTTCAATGGTAACAGTTTTCTCGTTTTCGCTGCTCTTAAGGGAATAGAATTCCAGGGAGTTATTGTTCAAAGAGAGAGCTACTGTTCCTAAGGATTCCTTTGGAGTCACTGGACAAAAAGAGAAAGAGCTGATTTTTCTGCCAGCTCTAATGACTTGTAAAAGCTTAAACACATCAGGGACAGTAGGACTAGAAACAGTATCAGCTTGTTCAATTTTAGTACTTGCTTCACCATTAGCGGTTAGATTTTCATCCCCCACTTTGGAAGTCTTCTTTTCTTTCCTGTGAAGCCTGCGCTTTGCTTTCTTCTTAGCCTCAGCTTCATCCAAAACCCGGAATATTTCAACTGTTTTACCTGCCATTTGACAAGCCAGAAGTTTCCCCGAAACATTGAATCTAACTCTCGCAACTCTATCCTTAGTTTGTCTCTGAATTTCCCCAAACGGCTTTAAAATTTCCCACTTGTTCTCGGTCGAATGTTCTTCACCGGTCTTGATTTCATTTGCATTTGAATCAGATACCAATGATCCATGAGACGAGTATTCCTTGACAGCATAAAATCTAAGCTCTTGATCAGCCGACCCAGTAACAACAAATCTCTCCTCTGGATCAGCATCAACAGACCACACTTCACTATGATGACCGCTAACTATTTGCATACAGTGTTGGGTCTCAAGATCCCAGACTCTCAAGAACTTGTCCTTAGATGAACTAACAAGTTTCTTACCACCATCCAAGAATACAAGATCTGTGACCTACATTAGACACATGAATATTGCTTTTGTCAAAAACCACTATGAAAGCCCACACACCATAGGAGAATCATCAAACACTACATGATAGAACTGTAAAGTTAGACATTAAAAATAACCTGATCACGGTGTCCACGGAGACGAAAAAGGCCTGATTCGCCAACAACATCCCACAAGATAACATCATTATCTTTACTTCCAGACGCAAGCATCGATCCAACCTTATTGTACCGCAAAGCAGTCACCGCCCCCTTATGACTATTGAAATTAACCTCACAGGTTCCTTTCTCACAATCCCATATCCTTATGCTCCCATCTGCATACCCAACTGCCACCTGGCTTATCACACACAATCATATTATTAGTTCTCTTCACTTCTTCTTCCTCCTAGATATTGTTCTCTTAGCTAAACAATTAAACTTCAATTACTTCACAAAGTGAACAAATTTCAAGTCATCTAACAAACAAAAGTAAGTACCAAACTAGAAGCAGAGGAGGCGATGGAAGTAACGGCGAGAGATGGTCCGCCGCGAGAGGAGGAAGGATTTAGGGTTTTGGTACAGACACCTTGCCGGACGTGCCAGATTCCGACTTTCTCCAACGCCGGAGCAAGTACATGCTTCCCCGTCGAATCGTAAGTTATGTTCGAATCTACAGATGAAATCACACCGAAAGAGGACGCTGCCTCGTATCTTAGGTAAGCCTTCACCATTCTCAAAAAGCTCTGATTTTGATGCTCTCTTCTTCTTCTACTTCGAGCTCCTTTTGATGGCGGGCTTTAGGGTTTTGGAGAGGTAAAGTCACAGGGTTCTAACATCTAATGTTACTTTTGATAAATTGTGATATAGTCTTAAGCTTTTGGTCTATTCAATATTTGACCCCTAAATTTCTTTTAATAGGTTTGAAGCCCTTACGCACTGGGCCCAAAAAGAATTTTTCTCGATTTGCATTGTTGTGTGATTAAGAATGAAACGGAACAAACAAAAAGGAAAAAGGAAAAAGGGTTCACGACATCCATGACCAATAGTAATTTGTTGATCATAATCCTTAAAATTAAAGTATAATAATTGAATGATTATCATCTAAAGAAAATCAAGAACATACACTATGCTTATCTTTTTTAACATACATAATTAATTTCCTTGCAAATTTCTTTCAAAATAAAATATTTAGAAAGATTTGTGTGTAATATATGTGTTTTTAAGTTTCAACTCCTTAATATCATCTATTGATTTTAATAGTACTGGTTCACTAATAGCATAAGAAGATTAACACTCTAAGATATGTTATTACTTTGAGTTTATCAACAAACAAAAACACACACAACATATGATCAGCACTCAAATACATGAATAATAAATCACAAAAAAAAAAAAAAAATGAAAGATTACAATAATTATTTATAAAACTTTCGTATTTGTCATTCCACGAATAAACACATGCCATTACATGTTATGCATATAATGTTATAGTAGAAATTTTATACATCATTTCTCTATCTCGGAAGCATCATCCTCATTGTGGTCCGAGGGATTCCCAATCCCATGACGTCTACTAGGGAACACCGTGAAGACAGCACCGGAGATAACTCCAATCACCGGAGGCAAAACCATAAGAAAGATCTTCCCGGTAGAACCAAATCCAGGATAGAAACAATTCACAGTGTTTGCATCCAACAAGGATATAACACTGAACACGATAAGAGAGAAGAAAGAGTGAACGAAATCTCCAACTCTAAGCCGTTTCGAAGACAAATCCACTGAAGACGAATCTGGCCAGAGACCCTTCATGGTAGCAACTCCATAATGAACGTATCCGTCTCTTGTTCGGTAACTATCGGTGAAGCAAGTAAAGCAACAAGAGAAGGCACAAACAACGATGAGAGCTCCGGTTAAGTATTTGTTGATGAGGAGGCAATGTCCGTTGTTGGTTAGGACAGGGTTTAAGAATTGGAACAAGAAGACGGTTCCGGTCGGGAGGAGTTTGATGAGGTCTCCTACGCCTGAATATGTCCGGTCTCTTATGGCTTTGAATGTTTTCGACATTTTCGTTGTTGTTCTTCTTTTGAAAATTAGGTTATTAGTTGTCGTTTATAGTGTGTTCTATGAAAGTATTGTTTGTCGAGTGTTTATAGGATGAGATAAAGACATTGCTTCTACGTAAAAACGGGTTTGGTGTTGCTTATACTCTTTAAAAAAAGTTGGGGGAGAATTTAATTATAACTTTTTAATTTGGTTTTGTTACCCTTTTTAGTATATATTTTAGGCTTGTACTAGAAAACGTGGCTTGGAGGATTAGATTCGTTTGTATTATAGAGTGTCTCATTTAGATACAAAAAGTGTGAAGTCATTTTTTAATGCTCCATTCCATTTGATGTCACGCATATCGTCATATAGGTCGTTGAAAGATCTGGTAGTCCCAAACGTATCCAGTGTAGAACAAAATGTTTGGCTTTTAATTATTATCCGAAACAAAGTTTGGTTGTAGACCGGAACATGTATGAATTTTTTTTTTTTTTTTTTTTTTTGCATTTTGTTATAAACAAATTTGTGTATAATTTAGAGACTTCACATATGAAACTATCGGTTCATACATATGGTTACTCGATCTAATAGTTTGTTAAAACCGGTTAAGTTTATGAACCTTTGAATACTCTGTTTTAAAACAAATATAAATAACATAACATTCTACAAATTTGATCTCTCTCTCTCCGATGTAGTATTCATTCGTTTCTCTTTCTATCAATGCTAATTGCATCTATTCATTCTTTACCTTTATTTCTGATGGTTTCACTTGTGAAAATGTCGACAAAATCAAAATGCTATCGGAGTTTCATTGGTTGTCACACATGCCAAATCTATAGATTCAGTATCATTAACCTTCTTTAAGATTTGATTTGACGATCATCTTACTTCATCTTGATAGATCATAATTCATCTTACTACATCCGTACACAAGTCAGGTCCAGATGGGATGGACTGTTTTTGGATCCGTGTCTTTTCAAACAACTTTTAATATAGATGGCACGAAAAGCCCAAAACAAAATTATAGTAATGCCCACAATAAAAAAATTCGCACAAGAGCCCAAATTGGTGTTGGAATGGGTCCGTCCGTATACTAAAATTTTTTGTTCCCGTGACTGATCATTGTCTTTTGCTCGTCGGATTAATAATCTTCTAACGTATTCATCGTTTGATCAGGACTTGCAAATTTTCCTTACTTTAAAAGATAAATTAAAAATAAATAATAATTAAAAAAAAATTCCTTACTTTGTCTATGAAAGACAAAACATACAATTTAAAAGAATATAGAAAGCTATTGGTTTTTTTTTTTTTCATCAAAATATAGAAAGCTATTGTGAACGAAAAAAAAGCAGCTTTTAATGTTAAATTCCAGAGAGATTCACATGTATACATTATTTCAACTATAAATGATTCAGAAAAAGAGAGGTGACTCGAGCAAGAGGCATGTGACCTTAGTGAAAAAGCAAAACAAAGAGAATCTAAATTTGTGTGGCTAGACATGTCTTCAACCTGTTTTGACATGTGTGACTTCATTTTTGTCTCCAGTCTCAATTAGTAGTGAGAGTAGTTGTGACACCAGTCTCTTTCCTCATCCACAAATGCTCGGAGAAGTAAAATTGTAAACAAATCGTAGATCCACTAGTCTCGGTACTTGTACAACATATTTATCGTAGTGAGACAAAAAAGTATTTTTATGAAACCTTCGTGCTTATATCATTTTTAGTTTGATCTTAGTGGTTGTCGCATCAAAATTAAATCATCTTTGAAGTTGCTGTTCGTTAATATGCAATATAAAGAAATCGACAAAGAAACAAGAATAGTATACTTTCTTTTCGAAGATGTGAACGCAAGACGGTCGATATTCACATATTAATGTTGGGTAAAATAAAATCATTAATTGATTATTTAATATTACAATATATCCACGTCAATTATTATTTTTTCGCTATTAGGATTAATATATGTTAATGATAATCCAAAAAAACGGTTGGATTTAAACTTATAAATAGAGAATTCTAAAGAAGAAAAAGGGATCCGAAAAAAGGAAGAAAATCTTAAAGTCTTAGAAGAGACCACGATGAATAATCAATGGTCACGGCCTAAATAAATCAGCGATGATTTACTGCCTAACGACATGACGACTCCATCGATTCTACCTAAAAGTATCAATTCCAACGGATCTACACCTAAATTCTCCTTTGATACTAGTTAGAAGATTATGATTTACTATTGTTTCACTTTTATATAAACAAAAATATCTCTTCATGCTTTAATCCGTAGAACTGTGCATATACGAACCGGTTAATAATTTTCCAAACAATTAACGTGACTTGACTCCTTGCACACAAAAAAAAAATAACATGACTTGACTCTTGTTGAATAATGCTAAAAATAGAATAACATATCTTGACGAATAAATTTCATCAAATAGTAGATCAATTCGTTAACGCATTTATTGTAATATCTCTAACTAAAATATTTCTGGAATGAAATTATAATATTTAATTATATATATGATTGCCTGAATTTATTGTGGAAGTAAGAACATAAAAACACATTAAAATTGTCACCAATATAGATCTTTTTAGTGGTAAGAATGCTCTTAGAGATTGATGAGTTTCAGTTCAAAATCTTTAGTTAAATAAAACGAATAAATATTTTTTATAATGGTTTGTTACTGACTAAATAATTAAAGATGAGGCGATTTTCTCAAGTTGTTTGAAAAATAGCTAGGTGCTAATCGGACGTTTGGTATGGACCTAGCGATTAATCGGAAAATCGGATTAAAATCGGAGATTAATCAGAGACTAGTTTTAGGATATTTTAATATTTAAAAAATATACTAATCTAATATTGTTTTCAAAATTGTAGTAAATACATAAAAATATATTTTAAGGCAAATTTTTATGATTTTTTATTAAACAATTCTGACTTTTATTAAAAATTTGAACATAAATTATTGTAAAATATCACAAACTTCCAATTCAAATGTTTAAATAACAAAAAAAAAGTTGTTTTATACTTGCAATTAAAAAATAATCGGGATATATAAGAATAAGCGGAAAATAATCAGATTAGACGGGAATTAATCGGATTAGCCGGAGAGTAATCGGGTGATTGATTTTTTTAAGAGATTAATCATTAATCGAAACGGAGAGAGTAGGTCTAGCGATTAAGCGGAAAATAATCAGATTAGTTAGGAAATTTTTAGAACAAGGTGACTCAACCAATACCTTTTTATTTTTGTATAACATTCAACCGCCTTTAGTATCATTTGGTTTTTGTTTCGGCTATTTTACCCAATTTATTACATCTCTCTTCTTCTTCTTCTTCTTTTTTTCCACATTTCTCATGCTATTTTGTCTGCTTGGTTTCAACTTTCAACCGTTTCATATTTTTCATTTTACTTACTACTAGCATCTGCCATCCGGAACTACAAAATTATTATAATATGATATCTACAAAAAAGAAAATCACAATTACAAGTTGTGAAAATAAACTACATGCATGAGTACATATCACAATAAAAAGCTGTCCTGAGATAAAACACAACTCATTTTGGTTCGTTCGTACTTAAAGAATTGGAACTACTCGAACGAGTTTGGATGGAATTGAAACTAGTCCTCTAAATTAGTAAACCAGCAGAATTATAACACGTCAACCTTTTTCAGTTTTTTTTTTTCTTTTTTGTCGTCAAACCTTTTTCAGTTTGTGGAGCTAATGGTAGTAGTCTCCGAAATTTTCCATTATTTATGCCAACAAAAAAAAACTAAAGTAAAGAAAATAAGAGGTTTTTAATTTCGCCACGCCATTATTAACCTTTTTTGTTAGCGTTTTAGTTTCATATTTGATGATAATTGCCACTAACAGAAATATCCTAGCTCGTCCAAATATATCTCACAACAATAGTCAACTAGGATCAGTTTCACTTTCAATGGTTAAAAGTAGATATTATCTGGGATTTTGCTAGACTAAATCTGAATACCTACGGTACTATATTTTGGTGAATGGTCGTTTAATATGCATTTTTGAAGATTGGATCTCAAATCTGAAAATATTGACGAGTACAAGTTGAAGCTACATGCATCTAACCTCGAGTTGAATATCGCAATTTTTTAAAACGATACCTAGTATTTTTTTTTGGGTTGTTGCTACTTGCTAAGATATAAACTTCAATCTTTTGGACCAATCATCGAATATTCCTCAAAACCACGTGGAATATAGAGAGGCGACGTTATATTTCTCTATGAACTACTATCTTTTTTTGGTTTATAAAAGTGTAAATAATCGGGGAAACAAACGAGTGATAATTTCTTTATCCACGTCACCAACTTGACCCAAGTATTAAGTACCGTGCATTAAATGAAATCCAGATAATAAATATAGTAACGCATTTCAATAGAGAAAAGCAATAAAAGAATAATTAATAACACAATGGCCAATAAGCAGACGGTAATAATTAAGAACTCCTCTTGTCTCCTATTTAAGGCGTATTTCTCTTCTACCTTCCAACATGTCACACACTTCAAAACAAAAACAGAGCATACAAAAAGAGAAACCAAGTTTTCTGAAAAATGGAGCTAGAATCTTCTCCTCCTCTACCTCCTCTACCTCCTCATGTCATGCTCGTATCATTCCCAGGGCAAGGCCACGTTAATCCACTTCTTCGTCTCGGCAAGCTCCTAGCTTCAAAGGGTTTACTCATAACCTTCGTCACCACAGAGTCATGGGGCAAAAAGATGCGAATCTCCAACAAAATCCAAGACCGTGTCCTCAAACCGGTTGGTAAGGGCTATCTCCGGTATGATTTTTTCGACGACGGGCTTCCCGAAGACGACGAAGCTAGCAGAACCGACTTAACCATCCTCCGACCACAACTCGAGCTGGTCGGTAAAAGAGAGATCAAGAACCTCGTGAAACGTTACAAGGAAGTAACGAAACAGCCCGTAACATGTCTCATCAACAACCCTTTCGTCTCTTGGGTCTGTGACGTGGCAGAAGATCTTCAAATCCCTTGTGCTGTTCTCTGGGTTCAGTCTTGTGCCTGCTTAGCTGCTTATTACTATTACCACCACAACCTAGTTGACTTCCCGACCAAAACAGAACCCGAGATCGATGTCCAAATCCCTGGCATGCCTCTCTTGAAACCCGACGAGATCCCTTCTTTCATTCACCCTTCAAGTCCTTATTCCGCTTTGCGAGAAGTGATCATAGATCAGATCAAACGGCTTCACAAGACTTTCTCTATTTTCATCGACACTTTCAATTCCTTGGAGAAAAACATCATCGACCACATGTCAACTCTCTCTCTCCCCGGCGTTATCAGACCGCTCGGACCGCTTTACAAAATGGCTAAAACCGTAGCTTATGATGACGTCAAAGGAAACATCTCTGAGCCAACGGATCCTTGCATGGAATGGTTAGACTCGCAGCCTGTTTCCTCCGT